ACTGTCTCAAAACAAAAAAATTTTTAAAGGGGAAAAGTTAATTGTATAGCATATGTGGACATGTGGGGAGGTCAGAGGACAATTTTTAAGTGTGTTCCTTCCGCTTTGATATTGTGCTGGGAATGGAGCTTTCTTTAACCCGCTGAGCCAGCCGGGAGCTCATACATATGCACGTGTGCATGTGCGTGTTCATGTTTATTTACTTATTTTGGTTTTTTTGGGGCCGGGTTTCTCTGTGTAGCTTTGGAGCTGGTCCTGGTACTCACTCTGTAGTGCTGGGACTAAAGGTGAGTGCCACCACTAGAGGATTGCAACTCTTTTTTTCTTTTAATTATTTATTTTTATTTTATGTGCAGTGGTATTTTGCCTGCGTGCTTAGCTGTGTGGACTGTCAGATCTGGGAGTTACAGACAGTTGTGAGCTGCCATGTGGGTGCTGGGAATTGAACCCTGGTCTCCTGGAAGAACAGTCAGTGCTTAAAACCACTGAGCTGTCTCTCCAGCCCCAGGGCTTTGTAACTCTTATGTTGTGGGCTGGAGCCATGGCTCAGAGGTTAAGAGCACTGGCTGCTCTTCCAGAGGTCCTGAGTTTGATTCCCAGCACCCACATGGTGGCTCACAAACATCTGTAATGAGATCTGGTGCCCTCTTCTGGCCTGCAGGGATCCATGCAGACAGAATACTGTATACATAATAAATAAATAAATCTTAAAAAAAAAAAGAAATAGATGTTATTCCTGTTTCATGGGTTCAAGGTGTAGCTCAGTGTTAAGGAACTTACCCAGCTCGTGCAAGGTCCTGAATTTTATTCTCAACAATGGGAAGAGAGAGAGAGAAAAAAACCACTGAAATAGACATTATTTCTTTGCTGGAAGTTTTGTTTTGTTTCTGAGACAGAATTTCCCCATGTAGTCCTGTCCTGCTGGCCTGGAACTCTATGTAAACCAACCTGCATCTGCCTCCCAAGTGCTGGGATTGAAGGCGTACCACTCTTGGCTTGGTGTTTCTGAAACAGGGTCTTGCTATGTAGCCCTGACTGGCCTCTCACAATCTTCCTGCCTGCCTCAACTACAAGTGCTAGGGTTACAGCATGCACCTCCGTACCAAGCTATCATCTTTGTTTTCTTTTTATTTTTGAGATAGGGTCTCTCTGTATAACCCTGGCTATCTTGAACTCAGAGACCTGCCTGCCTCTGCCTCTAAAGTGCTGGGATTCAAGGTATTCATTATGCCTTCTCTCGTTATTCTATGTTATAAGTGAAGAAGCAAGCTCAGAGAGTTTAAGTGGTCTTGTTAGTCAGTGAGGAAGCAGGACTCCACTGCCTATGCTCTTCTTAGCCAGTGATCTTTCTGCTACCCCTTACTTTATGAAGGAGAGTCTCCATGTAATTAATCTCTATTAGTTGTGTAAAACTAATACTTTTTTGTTGTTGTTTGTTTTTTTCTGAGACAGGGTTTCTCTGTATTGTTTTGGAGGCTGTCCTGGAACTCGATCTGTAGACCAAGCTGGCCTCAAACTTACAGAGATCTGCCTGCCTCTGCCTCCCAAGTGCTGGGATTGAAGGCGTGAACCACCAACTCCCATCTTAAAACTAATACTTCTAAAATGTGTTTGAAAATGACCTTCAAGTTTGAATGTATGTGTGCTGGGTTCTAATAATCACTTGTGGAAAAGCATTATATCCTCTGATTATTTTTCCAGGTGCCCATTTTGAGAATGAGAGAGAAGGGTCATGAGTTCTAGGCTGAACTGTCTAAAAGAAGCAGCATGTTGCACAGCTGGACAGGGTAGTGCATGCCAGTTGTCCAAGCTGTTTGGGAGGCTGGGGCAGAAGGATTACTAGAGCGCAGGAATTTAAAGCCAGCCTGGGCAATAGTATAAGACCCTGTTTCTCCACCAAAATGTCTTAGGATTGACATTGTAGTTCACACTGGAACACTTACCTAGTGTGTATGAACCCTTGTGTTTGGTTCCTACCTCCACAAGGGAGACGGCATCCATCCTGTTCACCTTCGTCATTTTAGCTGCTGGGTGGTTCTTTTTCTTTTTCTATTTTATCATGTATGTGTTCTAGGGTGGATGTCTCCGGTTATGGGTGTTCAAAGGTTTTACAGATGGGTGAGACTGCATACTTGTTATCTTTTAAAGTATCTTTATAGCCAGACATTGTGTTGATATTTCCAGGCACCATTGACCATGATTCAAAAATCCTGTGGAGCCAGGGTGTAGCTCCCTGGTAGAATATTTGCCTAGCATGCAGGATGTCTTGGGTTTGATCCCTAGCACCTATGGAGTAGATGGTAAAGCCTGGCAGACAGACAGAGGCTCTAGAATGAAATTGACTTGAGTCTGAATTCTGTCGAGGCCAATTATGATCAATGGCCCTGGGCAAGATATTTTATCTGAGTCTCCTCCTCTCTAAAGGTACTATTGCTACATATTTTAGAGTTGTGAGGATTAATTAAGGTGACTCATGTTCTTTAGTTATGTAGTAACTTGAAGCAGTAAGCATTAAATACATCTGGGCTTTTGTCAGTGCGTGACTCTGACCCTGGCTACTCCAGGGTTGAGACAGGAGGATTGGGAGTTCTAGGCCAACCTGGGGAATTTAGTGAGCCTTTGCCTCAGAGTAAATTTAATTTTTCTTTTAGATGGGATCTCAAATATTCCAGGCTGTCCTTGAATTTACTCTGTAACCAAAGATGACCTTGGACTCCAGATCTTCCTGCCTCTGCCTCCCAAATGTTGGGACTACATACATGCGCCACCACTCATGGCCTAGCATGTTTGTGTTCACACAGAGAGCAAAAGAGTAAGGAAGTTCATTTTACCTACAGTAGACAACGTTAAGAGGGGTCTAGAGCCTGCATGCGCCCTTTTGCTTTTGACCACCAGGGGGCACCATTGTCCCTGTGCATCTTACATCCTCCCAAGGTCACACTGATGTCAAGCCTGGGCCTTCTCTGTTGTCCATTCTTTTTTTGTTTTGTTTTGTTTTTTTGAGACAGGGTTTCTCTGTATTGTTTTGGAGGCTGTCCTGGAACTCACTCTGTAGACCAGGCTGGCCTCGAACTCACAGAGATCCGCCTGCCTCTGCCTCCCGAGTGCTGGGATTAAAGGCATGCGCCACCAACGCCCGGTTCCATTGTTCATTCTTGTTCTCACTCATTTGACTGTATTTGGACCTGTAATTTACTTAGCTATTACATTCATGACAGTCTTAACTTTCCCACCTATGTTCAGAAAGAGACTGTAGACTGGACTGTGGCTTAGTGTTTGAGTATTAGTATAGCACCTTAGAAGCCCCCCTCCCCCAAGATAGGGTTTCTCTGTAGTCCTAACTGTCCTAGAACTCACTCTGTAGACCAGGCTGGCCTTGAATTCAGAGATCTGCCTGCCTCTGCCTCCTAAGTGATGGGATTAAAGGTGTGCCTCCGCCACCACTACCACCACCACCACCACCACCGACCTGTTTAGAAGCTACATTTTTCATTCCCAGCACCCAGAGACAGACTGACACACGGACTCAGCTTTTGGGAGACTCCACTTAGCCTCTTTGGGTTTTCACCTTTATAACAATGAATATTGGGATGAACAAGTTTGAGTGTTGAAGTTAAAATCCAGGACCCCACACCAAGGGAATTAAAACACTACTGTCCCCACATTCTCCCTGCAGTTATTAAACTCTAGTTGCCATTATGGCCATCCAATAATTGTCCCATTGGTAGCCTCACCTGATGGGGACAACCTCTTTTTCTTAGGGCATTGGAGTTCAGCCCTCTGATCTGCCAGCTAGTCTCTGTGGATAATTAACTAGGGGAAATGGGCCAGGTCAGACTATTCTGGGGTTATGAAGAAACCTTATGTGAGATGCTAAATTGGGAGCCAGTATTGATCAGTGAAGCTTTGAAGTTCTTAGGGAGGTAGCTGGGGTCTTTGCTTGTCCCGGGGTGTGGTTTCTCTAGATAAGATTTTCTCCAAAGAACTACCTGATTCTTGGGCCAGAGGAACTGCTGGACAGATACGAACCGTCTATGAGAGATTTTTTTTGGGGGGGTTCTTTCCCTTTTTTTCCCAAGTCTAAGCCACAAACTATATCCTTTATAAACAAGGACTATTGGCTTACATGAATCCGGAGACCTCTGCACTTTGTTACTGCCGTGTGGGAAGATAAAAGATGGTTCATTTAGGGTTTATAGATAAGGCACCCTGATCCTTGGGTCAGTTTCTCTCCACCCTAGGTCAATCACAGTGATAGGCTTAGGGAAGTACCAAAGGTGCTCTACCGGGTGATGTGTAAGGTCATCTTAAATTCTTGTGTCATTTAGCGCCATAGTTTCCGAGGCGCTGAGGATAGAGACAGATAGCCAAGTAGGAGAAGTGTCCTAGAGCCTTTGGAAATACTGCGAACGATGTGTCAAAAAGACGGAGTGTCTAACCCTGGAGGGCAGATCTGGTGTGCATCCTCTTGCTAAACGTGAGGTGGGCTGGCTCTGGGGGGGGGTACGAAGAATGACAGGATATGCCCAGGGCCCAAAGACTGAAAGACGCAGGCACCTTCATGTTAAGAGGGCTTTTGTAAGACTTAACATCTACAGTTCACACACAGCACTAAATATTCAGGCGCCCGTTTTGGTTCTTCTCCACATAGTGGGGGTCAGTATCTACACTATCAGGATTTCTGATGATCTTCGTCAAGCAGCGAACTTTGGCATCATAGGCTGCTTTCCACATGATGTCACCTGCATGGCCGGCCGTGAAGTCATCCTTTAAGGAAGCATGCCAAGCCGGTGTGTGTGTGTGGGGGGGTGACACGATCAGTTTGCTGTGGTGCCGTGACCTTCAAGAGTCGCGTGCTGGAGCTGTACCTTTCGCATTCTCTGGAGAACTCGAAACGCGTTAAGGGCAAAGGGAAGAGCCAAAGAAGGAAGTTAACTGAGTTCTCAGGCACATCCTAAGACACCTACAGTCCCCTCTCCGCCCACTCCGAATTAGCCTAATCCGCAGGGTCCAATCCTCCCCGCCCTAACATCTGTCAAGTGCTCAAGTCCCGCCCCTCCTTCGCCCTGGGCCAATGGACGAGCCTGAAGCTTGTCCCCAGAGAGGGGCGGGCTCGTGTTTCGGCCCGGAGGCGGGGCCTCGCTGAGGACCCTGGGCTGGGCGCCTCTGCCGGTTCATCTCCCCTTCCTCCGCCGCCTCCTTTCAACCTTGTCCGCCGGTTGGCGCGGTCTCCGTTACAGCGGCGGCCGCTGCGGTTCCAGCTGCAGCTTCTCGCTCTCCGCGCTCCCTTCCCGCCAGGTCCCGGAGTTGGTCCCGCCATGGCTCTCCTCACTGCGGCAGCCCGGCTCTTGGGAGCCAAGGTGAGCGGCTAAAGGCAGGGAGCGGCGGCGTCGCGGGGTGGGGCCGAGGCGACCGCAGGCCCTCCGGCTCCGAGCCTCCCGCCCGCCCCGGCGCGCAGCCCTCCGCGCCTTAAAGGGGCCCGGCGCCTGGCCAGCCGCCAGCCCTTCCTGCGGCTCCTAGGCCATGTGCCGCGCTGCCCTTCCTTCCGGCGCTAAGGTGAACGCTGCCGGCGCCGGCTGCGTGCGGTCCTCGGCGGCCCGGGGCCCCCGGAGCCCCGGCCTGACTGTCACATCATCTCTCCGAGGTGCAAGTGAGGGAGGGATGCGTGGTGCGGGCTGAAGAGCCGGAGGGGAGGAGAGGTGCGGCGTGCCGCCGGAGTTAGGGGAAGAATTGCTGGCAGGGGCACCGGGGGCGGTGGGCAGATGTGCTGCTCACTTTGTCACTGGGCCAGAGCTGGAGCCGGGGCTGGTTTGGGCTCTGCGTTGTAGGGCGAGTCTTGTCAGGACCTGTTTCTCGTTGTAATTGAAGCCTCTGAGTGACCCGGCCGGGTCAGTTTTCGGAGAGGAGTAGACACCCACCTTCCCGCGTCCCCGGTCCCCAGCTCCTCTTTGTCCTTGGGGCGCTTGCACTTAACTGTATAGGAGGAGCTTGGATAGGGTGGGGCATTTCTGTTAAACTTGCTGATAGAATATCGCCTGTGACTCCAGAGAGAACCAGAAAGGTTGTACCACCAAGCTGCAGGCCAATAAATGAAGACAGGCAAGAGGAGTAACACCATCCGAGATCACATGACCGAGTCTACTACTTAAGTTGTGCGGGTTTTAGCTGTTTTCTTAAGTCTCCTAAGAGGAGTACTTCCTCTATTCCCTAGGGCCCTTTAACTTGGACCTTTTTCTTCCTTTCTTTTGCCTTTTTCACTACTTTGGGCTCTGCATAGATCGGTCCTTTAAACAGATCCAGTTGTGCTGAGGGAATCTCGGCCTTCTAATCCAAGTGGGGACAGTGCCACAGACGACCTTGGCTGCTGTAAGGAACTGAGGATTTTTTTCTTGAGTAGACAGCTTGAAGCTGGTCATGCCTGGAGGGAGAGAAAGACCGAGAATGGTTTTGACTGGCTGTGTGTGATGCATATTTGTCAGACTTGCCACAGAACCCGTAGGGTTTATCTTGGGGTTCGGTTTTTGAGCACCCAGAAACAAGGCAGAGAGTGCATATTTGGTAGATACTTGTCTGTCTTGGCTGTTGCTACTCCTGCCAGGGAACTGAAATGAAGCAGGTTCCAGACAGTGTTTGGCAGAATTGTGGACCTATAATTAGACCATTTCGGAGCTGCTAACCCAGACCAAATAGTCTAACACAACTGAACTTGAAAAAGCCTTTAGATTCACCTTTTGAGTTTGTCTTGCCTGTTAAGGCCCTAGGGAATCTCAGAGTGTTTTATGGATGACTATGCTGTCATTCCGAAAATCTTAGCAGTCTCTTGGATTGGCTTGGTCAAGTACTTGCCTGGCATGTGTGGATCTCTGTTTGCCTCTCGTTGTTAAGTGTGATGGTAACATATCTGCCCACCAGCACTTGGAGACAGTAGCTATATAGTGAGTTTGAGACCATCCTAAGCTAATGATACCCAGTCTCCAAGAAAAGGGGTAAGGTTTACTCTTAAAATCAGCAAGGCCCAGAGCATGATGGCTTGAAACTATAAAACAAACACTGGGAGCTTAGGCAGGAGGATCTTTGTGAATTCAAGGTCATCCTGGGCTGCATACAGAGTGGGTTCCATTAAGCTTGACCTCCAAGGTTAAGTGTTTGCTGTTGAGTTCAAACTTTTTGAGCTGCCAGCTCAACAAAAAAAATGCCACGGGAGGCTTGTTATTAATTATAAAAGCTCAGTCCTGTGTCTTAGGCTTGTCCCACTAGCTCTTATAACTTAAATTAACCTTTTTGCTTGTTTGTTTGTTTTTTGAGACAAGGTTTCCCTGTATTGTTTTGGAGGCTGTCCTGGAATTTGCTCTGTAGACCAGGCTGGCCTCGAACTCAGAGATCCGCCTGCCTCTGCCTCCCGAGTGCTGGGATTAAAGGTGTGCGCCACCAACGCCCCCGGCGACCCGTATCTTTTAATCTGCGTTCTTTTGTAGGCTCAGTTACCTTTACTCTGTGTTGACCTCTTGCTTCCTCTCCCTTTTATATGGCAACACCTCCTCCTTCCTAGAGCTCTCTCTGTCCAGAAGTCCCTGCTATACCTCCTGCCTAGCTACTGGCCATTTAACTTTTAAATCAATCACAGTGACACATCTTTACACAGTGTAAAAGAACATTCCACACTGAGCGTTGGTTGCACACACCTTTAATTCCAGCTCTCGGGAGACAGAGGCAGGCGGATCTCTGTGAGTTCCAGGCCAGCCTGGTCTATAGACAGCCTCCAAAACAATACAGAGAAACCCTGTCTCAAAAAAAAAAAAAAAAAAAAGAACATCCCACAACATAACCTCCATCTAAAAACTATGTTCAGTTACTGTGCCTGTAACCCTCATAGTCTGGAGTGTGGGGAAGAGTGGAACAGATGGGAACTCGGGGTCTAGGCTGCCAGTCTATCTAGCAGAAACAGGTTTGAATGAGAGACTGTACTACAAATATTAATAAGGTGAAGGCCAGTAGAGGAAGACACAAAGTTACTCTTTGACACACAACATGTATGTGTGCACACAGACACACACACACACAAAACATAAAGCTATCACAGCCTTAACATTAAGGAGTAGAATTTCGAGAGTCTGCAGTGTACCTGGGATTCTGAGAAGCCTATCAGCATCATTTGTGTCTGCCTACACTTTCTAAATTAATTCCCAGTTTGATTAGTCATTGGTAATAAATCTTTATTTTTTAATATTAAAAGAGCCTTTATTAAGAAGGTAAACCATGCGGTGGTGGCAAACACCTTTAGTCCCAACACTGGCTGCAGAGGCAGGCGAATCTCTGTGAGTCCGAGGCCAACCTGGTCTACAGAGCGAGCTCCAGGACAGCCAAAGCTAATGAAAAGTAAACATAAGAAAATATAGCTCAGGCCGGGCGTTGGTGGCACACGCCTTTAATCCCAGCACTTGGGAGGCAGAGGCAGGCGGATCACTGTGAGTTCGAGACCAGCCTGGTCTACCGAGCGAGTTCCAGGACAGCCTCCAAAGCCACAGGGAAACCCTGTCTCAAAAAACCAAAAAAAAAAAAAAAAACCAACAACAACAAAAAAAACCAAAGAAAATATAGCTCGGTAATACAGTGTTTGCCTTCAGTGTACAAGACCCAAGGTTTATAAACTTCCAGAGAGAGGAAGGGGGAGGGAGAGAGCTGGAATCACCTCACTAAGGCATGGCTGTAATTCCAGGGCTGAAAAAAGCTGAGATAGGAAGATCTCATGTTCCAAAAGTTTTAGATCAGCTGGGAGCTACATAATAAAACCTGTTAAGGAGGGGAAAGACAATTAGAAAGAAAAAGAATCTATTTTTTTTAACCCCTCATGCTTGAACTCTGTTTTCACAGGTGATCTGGGTTTGTAATTAGGCCAGGAACTGGGGTAGGACCATGGAATCACCTTTAGGCTTTTGAAGTCAGCATGCTTAATCAGCCCTATCTAAAAGGAATATTGTTTTCTAAGACAGAGTTTCATCATATAGCCCAATCTGACCAAAAATTCTCATTCTCCTCATTTTATTTTTTGAGACAGGGTTTCTCTGTGTAACAAGCTCTGGCTGTTCTTGAACTCTTTGTAGACCAGACTGGCCTTGAACTTTGAAAAGATCAGTGTGGTTTTACACTAATAGTGATTTACAACATGCCTACACCACTGCCCATTTTCTATAAGACCTTGTCTGAAATTAATTTCAACAAAACAGTTATTTTTCTCCCATGAAATAGGCTTAACACCCAAAACTTATGAAGGCAAGGGTCTTTATATCTACCTTCATTGTCCAAGTGTAGCTTAACCTTGTGTTAATTGTGGGCTAAGTCTGTTTGTTCCTACTGGCCTTTAAATTGGGAGCAAGTGAATCTGAAGATGTTGACATAGACGGGCAGCAAGAACAGGTGTGCGCTCAGCAAACTTGAGAAGGGATCCTCAGCATTCCTGGTTCTTATAACCTAAGTGTGCTCTGCACAGGAAACCACACTCACATCTCAACTAAAGCCGCACAGTAATTTCTTGTGCCTTATGTCAGTACTTTTGCGGGAGAAGTAGGGTGTGAAATCTGAAGCAGTGAGGTGACTGCCCAGTTCTTCCGTCAGCTACCCAGACTTTCTTGTTACCTGGGTGCTTGATCAGAGTGTGATTCTGAAGAAGTGTCGTGGAATCTGACAGTTTTTACTTTTTGGGCTGATCGTGTGTGATTCTTGGATTGCAGGCCTGACCCACCACGCCCAGCTTTATTTTCACATGAACCTTTCTTGTAAAACCTAGAGCATAGTGTTAGGAGCTAAAGCTTGTTAAAAAGAAAAAATGTAGCAGAAGTAAGGAAATCATTTAGTGTTTCCAAGAAACATTGAGGTGACAGTTATTACAGTTAGTGTATATGTAGTTGTTTGTGTTTGGGTGCATGTCCACAGCACTCTTGTGAGTGTCAGGACCGTTGGTGTGAGTTAAATTTTTTTCCTTCCACAAACTCATCAGGCTTGGCAGCAAGTGCTTTTACTTACTGGGCCTTCTCACCAGCCCAGGCATAAATTTCTAATTAATTAAAAGTAATAAAAGTTAATACATTAAAAAAAACAATAAATTGAATCTGGAGAGATGATGAATCGGTGAAGAGCATGACCTGAGTTTGGTTCCCAGCACCCAGAATGGGTGACTTTGCCTCCAGGACCAGGGGTTCTTCCACCCTCTTCTGGCCTTCTTGGGCACCTGCACACACGTGGCATACTCCCACCATTCTACAGCAGAGGCCGATGGATCTCTGAGTTTGAGGTCAGCCAAGGCCATGTAATGAGACTCTGTCTCACACACACAATTCTAAAAGTACTCAATAAAATAAGCAAG